CCGAAAAAAAATTGAATTCTAAAGTTCTTCTTTTATCTATGATTACTTTAACCGATTCGCCTGGTGCAACACCACGCATATGTTCTAAGTGTTTGCGTAATTCTTCAACAAAGAATCCATACCAATAAGGAATAACTTCCAAAACTAATATTTTGGAACAATATTATTAAAAAATAAATGCCTATGCATTCGACATATTTATGAACCTAAATATCACATAGACGTACCACTTAGTTGAGATTGCCTTTTATCATCGGTAGAATTTATAATCTCACGACATTTATCGAATAACTGATCATGATGATTAATTAAGCCTTTTCCATCATTTCTTTTATCAGATATATCTTGGTTTGATTCTGCTGCAACATACTCTATTATATGATCTTGTTGAAAAAGTCCATGTCGAAAAATGTTGTCAATCGTCTTTATAATATTACTAAATATAGCATAGCTATTGCTTTCTTGTCTCTCTGATGATTTGAAGTGAAATACAAAGGAACGGACATGAAGGAGTTTACCAAACATTTTTCCGATAAGTACGTTGTATGCCTTGTTCGTAGAAAATAAATTATTTATGTTTCATAATAATCAAATAACGACAATATTATATTTACCCTCTTTGGATTCGAACTTTTTATCAGGTTGCATTCCAAAAATGAAATAATTTTCGAAAACAACCCAAATCTCAGAAAAACGATTCTAGATTGCCTATTCTCGATAATTATGATAAAATTGCAAGCATTTAAAGCTAATGTGACTAATTGATCTATTGGCGGCCTGAAAATTGTAGACTTTTCTGTTGTAAGTTTGTGAAAACAGGCATCAACTGTTTCCAGCAAATGCTCAATCAGATCATCTGTGTCGTAATTATTTATTGGATCCAATGATGATATATAATCAACTACGCTGGAAAATATAGGAATCAAAGGTAATTTGTATATAGGTGACGGTATAGAAGAATCGTTAGTTTTTTCCAATACTTCTTTAAACAATTTCCAATAACTTAAATTCAAATGTGGGGTTTCCCCAAGCCTTAAAAAAAAATTTTATAATGTAATTTGTTAGTAAGCATTTACGATTAAACTGTTAAACTATTTAAATATAATTACCGTGCTTCGGGAAATCCAGTTGATTTAATCAAAGTTGAACAAACCCACTCTGACAAGAATCCTACTTTATTTAGAAAGCATATATCAGTTGAATTCCACACACGAGTGGCAACAATAATCTTTTTGGGATATGAAACTTTTGAATCCCTCAGTACGCGAAATATAGCTTCGGACGTGTTCAAAAATTCCGATGTCATTTCGTTTTAAAGAGCGTTTTAACGATAAGGTCAATAAATGTATTTTTTTTTTTTATCATTATCTGAATTTGTGATTTAATTGGTTAATAAATCTTACAACTGATCTGTGATGCATGCACATATGTACGATTATTTTCTGTGATTCATAGAATTTCAACCAACCGCAGAAATCACCTCATAATACGTATCACGGAGTTATAGGATATACTGTATTTAAAAGCGCTTTGCAAAAAGATGTGACCCCATGATTTTTGTGATGACGAAAGAGAAAAATTTCCGAGATTTTAGATTGTCTATTAATTCATATTTCGATCAGTTATATTTATATTTATTTGACATTGTGATCTGCAGAGGTCACATCTTTTTGCAAAGCGCAATAAAAGAAATTAACTTTTTATTTAGAAATCACCGACAGAACTTGGTAAAAATTATTCAAATCTTAACACCGCAGGAAATCATCGTGGGCTGTCTTTTGGGGTCTCAATTTAGATCCATTAAACCACTTTTATCAATAATTCTAACCCTAAATCCTTAAAAAAAATTCACTAAAAAAATTTCGCCGTCAGATCAGGATTAGGTTTTGCTATTAGATTGAGTTGCAGGAACTTTTTTGTTAGTGCGCAGAAGGCAATTTTCATAGGTA